AGCTCAGCACCTTTACCATTTCATTCAGTCATCCAGATACTTGGATGAAGTTAACCGCAACATCATTAATTAGTGATTTCTCAGAACGCTTGCTTTGCATATCCAGAAAATGTTCTGCTCGTGATGCTGATTGATGAGAGAGTACATATCAAAACCCTTGACATTCAAAGAGCCATAAAGCATGAGAATTAGATAAGACAGTTGAAGACGGTTGGACAATGGAGACAGTTAGACCTTGAAAATCGCAAGTTTAATATTTTAAAAATAAACTTTGAAGCAAACGACTTTATCAAACTAATTAACTGGTTGTTCAGCAAAGTAACTACACCATTTCTAAATGATGTGACAATAGAATATTTAAAAACTATGCTGGAAAAACCAATACCAATTAATTGTGCTTTTACTAAGATCCCATACCACACATAAGCTGTAGAAAGAACAGTAAAATTGGTTACAGAGGCCCCAAAGAAAGTATATGGTCTAAATAACGGGATAGTTTTATTTGCTCCACTCTGAAATCGAAAAAAGCCATGCCTGATTTTAGATGCAAGAGACAGTACAAAACCTAAAGACCTAACACTTATTTCTTATCTTGTATATTATAATAATCTTATATATTATAGTATTCGAGTACATGACAATTTTGGTTTATGTTTAATAAAGGTTAGTTAAATTATGAAAAATAGTGTATTTGTCAATTTTTTGGGTATACTTTTTGTGGCACCTTGCCAGAACAGAACATATTGTTAGTGGGGCGTTAAATTCAACACAGTAGTTAACCTTACATAAGTGCAACTTTTGCACACTACAGCAAAGTGCTGTGACATTTAAAATTTTTTTCAAACATAAAAAAAAGTTGAAGACTTTACAAAATATTTGAAATTTCACATCCCTTATGTGTCAAGTCTTCCGTGCTACCCCAAAAGAAATGTAGAAAATTTGCTTTTTTCGATATTCCTAGTCAGTAAGGTAGTTTTTTGTATACCCCTAGTCAGTACTGGCGCTTACGCTTACATAAATTGTTACACAATGTTATAAAAGTAAACTTTTTACATTTGAATATTATATATTGCTCTTTGCATTTGCATATTACATCTCTATTAATAAATTCTATTTAGTTATAATTGATTTAAATATAATTTTTATACATTTTTTTTTTTTTATTATTAATAAAATATTATTTTTTAAATATTTCTTTTAAATATTTCTATGCAAAGCTGCTATGCAATATAATTATACTTGTTCAGAGTTTACCCGTCTATAAAGTGTTGAATTAATACAATCGGTATAAAAAGGTTATATAATAATTTTTTTTTCAATATAACATAATCTTCAGTATCCTAATGGTTTAGGGCGTTGTTCTATGTACCGACATCCTGACAATTTTTTGTGTTCCACCGTCAAACATGATAAATTTTTTTTGTTTTTTAAACTTTTCATTTTTATAAATAGAAAAACAAAATAGTTTAAGTATTTTTAAATGTTTTTTTAAGTTAACGGATATAAATTTAATAGACTTTTTTTTTTATAATTTAGCGATCTTGGGTTACTAAATAAATATTTTTTCCATTGTTGGTTTGTTACTAATCAATACTGATTATAATATAATTATATATATAATAATATTATATAATATTATATATTATATAATATTATCAATAATTTACTTACATTTTGTTTACCATAATCTTACAATAATCTTTTTAATTATGTCAAATAAATCTGACATCATTAAAAAATGAAATTACCTTAAAATAAGTGGTTTGCTAATTTTAAAATGTCATTGTTTTTGGAGCATTCGTTCTTTAAGCACTTTAATAACTACAAAAAAAAAAATTATGCCTAATTAAACTTTCGGTTATGTATTTCATTAACATTTTTTTCCTCCTTTTGTTTACTCGATGCTTTTGATTTTAATAAATACTTTCATACCGGGCCGTTCGAAGTTGGCTCAGGGCCCTGCGGCGAAACTAAGTTGTGAAGCTCCAAAATCTAACTGTCATCTGTACAATCGCATTGTTAAGACTTTGCAGGGGCGGATGTAGCATTTTTTGATGTTTGAGATAACTAACTTCAAGACATGGAGGAAACTCCTAATATTTATATGATTATACTTATATCAGACGAAAATGCTTTGCAAAAAATTGTGATGATAGGAGCCTGGGTACAAAAAAACTTTAAAATTTTAGCTACACCTGCCCCAAACGTGAGAGCAGCAAATTTATAAAATATTTCTTTTACTATTCTTAACCAAGTTTGCATTCATCAATTAACTTTAAAATTCATACAATTTTCTCTTAGCGTTCAACCATTGTTTTTTTATTATTTGGTCATAGCTTTAAAGCGCAAAGTAATTCTATTTAGTCGACAGTCGAGTTATTTAATAGTTGTAACAACACTAGAATTAGAGTCGTTTCCACACCTAACGTGAGTCAACACTTATCGTAGGTTTTACCGCAGCCGCTCGATGTGGCAGTTTTTGGGCCGATGAAAGCAAAGTGGAAATCTTTTTGCCGCAATGGTGCATTGACCATGAAGGACAAGAAATAAAAAATGAAAATGTACCAGAAGCATTAAATTCTTTTATAATCAATCCTTCTTTAGAAAATAATATTAAAAGTAGTTTAAAAATACCGGATTTTGTCCATTTGATTCTTATAGTATTGACTACAAAAAAATTGCTCAAAAATTATCTGGGGCAACTGTTGCGCCGGCTGCTTATTTAGAAGAGAACCATTTAAGTGTGATTTTATCAGCTTCCTCTTCAATAATCTTTATTGAAAAGTGCATTGATTTAAGTATTTTATAGCAGTTTAAAATAGCTGACGAATATTTAGGTTGGAAAGGTGAACTTGAATACCTCCAATTGTATCATTTTTGGAAAAGAGGTAAAAGTATGGTATTATCTGAAGCATATAAGACCATTCAGATAATGTGGCAGCAAATTAAAAACATCTGAAGCATTTTTTTTTTTTTTTTTTTTTTTATTTTACTTCACCTCCTCAAGGCCGAGAAGGCCGCTACAAACGAGGAGGCTACTTATTTTGTGGCTATAACCCTCTCTCAACTCTATAACTCCGAAACACGAACCTTGACGAACAAGGTCGCTGCGCGGAGAAACGAGTTGAGCGCGGTACTACCAGGGACGTGGTGGGGATCGAACTCGGAACCACTCGTTTTATGAAGCGAGCGCTCTACCACTACACCACTACCGCATTTAAGACCATACCTTTACCTGATGAAATACAACAGGGTATAAATAAAAATCTATCAACAACTTGTAATTTAGAAAAAGTGCAAGGTATAACCAATATGAAAATGCCTGATTACAATAACGCAGCTGTAATAAAACCAAAACTAGCTTCTTTCAGTTTAAAAATAGCAGCAGAAATCATTATTCAAGTTGAAAGTGTTTAAATATAGCCAAAGCAACCAGTCCAAATGTCCGAGTGCAAAGTAGAACTTTTACCATCGGTTGTAACATCTGAAATGTGGCAGTAAATTCAGAAGGCAAAAAAGCAAGAAAAGTCACAAATAAATGATAAAAAATTAAGAAAGAAACAATTAGCTGCAGATAAATTAGAAAAAGAAAAATTAATAAAGCAATAATTGGCAATCGAGAAAAAGTTATTAAATGAAAAAACTCAAAAAGAAAGAGAAAACATGAAAATTTTGAAAAAAAAAAGTTGCAAAAGAAAAAGAAAGCCTTGAAACTGAGTCAGAAAACGAGTTCCATTTAAATATGGATATTAATTATAAAATAAGACTCTGATAGTTATGATGAAACTCTATCCTTTCAAGTTTAAGAACTTAAAGAATATGTACTAAAGTAATGGAATTGCTTTAAAATTTTTAATTTTAATTCATAATGTTTTTATTACTATATAATTAATGTTTATTTAACAGTCTTTTTTTTTTATTTATACACATAAAAACGTTTAATAAAATGTTATTAATGAATTAATTTTTCATTTGACACCGCGAACCCATTTTCACCGGGCACTAATACAAATTTTAAAATATACGATAAGTGTCGACAATATATATGATAAGTGTAAAACACTTACGATAAGTATGGAAAACTGCGCTTTAAAAGTTTGATCAAAATAGGTACATTAATTATTTAAATTTCAGAGTGAGAATTATTTTAAGCTAACCCTTATAGTATTACATTGACGGTTGCAAAAATTCATTTCTAATGCATTTCTATTTTTGATTAATCTAACATATTATAATAACTTTTGTTAAACTCACGGTAAGTGTGCAAACAACCCTATATCTGTTTTTACGCGTTGCCAAAAACAAAATGGGTATTCTCATAAATATTTAATTACTTTTTAAATGCAATTCTTTTTCTTTTTAATTTAAATAATTAAAAAGAAACTCATTCAAAAACGATTTAAACAGCTAAGATCTTTAAAATGCAGTAACTCTTCAAAGTTAAGTCCAGTTTTTTTTTTGTTTTTTTTTTTTAATGTTAGTAGTTCTAAATTTTTACAAAATTTAGTAAGATTTTGTACTTTCCTAAGCAGGACCTTATTCCTGACACAATAAACACTTTAATAAAATAAGTTTGACAATATTCAAAATATTGCAGAGATCTAGATGGCAAATAGAACATTGTTTCCATACTCCAAAACTGTTAAATAAGTGCATATATTTAAATTAAGCAAACCTCCATACTTAAAAAATCTTTATTTGTCCAAATAAACATTGTATAAATTTGTATTTACATGAAAACAATTTGACAAACCCTGATTGGACCGGCCAAACTTAATTGATTAGAATTACTTTTGGAATGTCGAAATATTAAATTTTAAAAATAAAGCTGATCATTGACCATGTTAACCGTTTAACTATTAAACATAGTATAAAAATAAACTGTAGTAGTAGTATATTTATGTTTGATTTTTATTTAAATTATCTTTAAGTATTATGCTTAAGTTTAGCTTTATTGTTATTTTTTACCTTATGCACTTTTTTAAATACAATTTTTCTAGAAAGGTATTCTTGTCCCTGTTTACTATCATTTTGTGAGAACCACTATAAAGAAACCTTTTGTTCACTTGTATATGAATCGTGTGGAAATAAAAACACTTCAACACTTTCATCTACAGCTTTATCAGCATAACCTTCTGGAATTGTGGCAATTTTATTTAACATAATATTATGTTGAATTTTTAAATTTGTTTTGTTAATATCTTGAAGAACTTTTGTTTCCGAATTGTTATTTGTATTTATTTAAACGCAAGTTTTTTGTAAAATTTTTTGTCAGACAAAATGTTGTAATCAGTATAAATTTTTTTGGAATTTTTGTTTTTGTTTTTTTAAGTTAATATTTTGTAATCAGTATATTTGATATAATGGCTAATGTCTACCTCTCAGGTATTGTCTAATTCTCAGCTGACATATTTACTTTATGGCAAGAAAACCGTCAGTTGATGTATGCAATTCAAAACCAAACCCAACTGTGTTCTCGTTTATTTTGCGACACGGATCTGCAACTGCTTTATGATAAATTTAATTCAACGCAACTTTGGTTTCTGTGTATGCATAAATATTGATCACCAAAAAATAAAAGTTAATTCGTGTGTTATGAAGATCTTAGAGACAAATTTATAAATCGTAGGAAAACGCGTATGTTTTAAACCCATATGTTTTATTTAATCAGCTACATGTCCAAATATTTGCAATAATAAAAAGTATTCTGAATCATGCAAATATTTTTATAAAGTTCTACTGAATACGATAAATACTAAAATAGAAAAAAGTTGTTGTGATGTACTTTGTATTTTTGTATCTTGAATGCATAAAGGTTGAAGTATCACTGATAGAACAATTTACATATCTACTTTACAGCAAGAAAACCGTCAGTTGATGCATCTAGTTCAAAACAAGTAACCCAATCTGCGTTCTTGTTTATTTCAAACTGTGTTCTCGTTTATTCCGAACTGTGTTCTTGTTTAATTTGCGACACGGATCTGCAACAGTTTGATGACAAATTTTCTTCAAAGCAACTTAGGTTTCTCTGTATGCACAAATATAGATCACCAAAAAAAAAAATTAATTCATGAGTTATCAAGATTTTAAAGACAGATTTATGTCGTGGGAAAATGCGTATGGTTCAAGTCCATGTTTTATTAAACTAGCTACATGTCCAAAAATTTGCTATATTAAAAAGAATTCTGAATCACACAAAATTATTATTTTTATAAAGTTCTACTAAATCCGATTAATACTGTATATGAAAAGGTTGTTGTGACGTAGTTTGTACTACGTCTATCTTAAATAAATGTGTAAAGGTTAAAAAGAAGTATCACGGATAGATTAATTTACTTGAAAACTGCACGTGTTTAACGCAATATTTTTTTGTTTTTTTATTTTTTTTTATTTTTATATATTAGAATGTTTTAATACAATAAAAGGGTAAATGTTAAGCTTTTGTTGTGTTTTTTTTTTAGTAATGTTAGAGTAAAACGCGTAACAAGCTGAGTTAAAACCTTAAAAATCTGAGCACAACATGTCGAACAAAAAATATGTAATACTTAAACACTTGGAACAAATATTTTGTGAAGATTTTTTAATAAGTTCTTTTATTTATGCAAAGGACATTTATTTCGGATTTTGCTCAGCGAATATTTCAAAATGAATTTTATATTAATTTTACTTGTTTCTGAATTGCTTCAGTCAATGCTGATAAAGGTTAGTTGACGGCAATTTTTTTTTTTTTTCAATTTGTAAATTTATTTGCCTTCAATAACAAAAAAAACTTACAATTACAGAATAGCTTTATTAGAAATAAAATCTGCAGAACTTCCAGAAGATCATATGATCTTATCATGATCTAATCAATACCTTTACAATATCAAATATAATAGTAACAATAAAATCAAATTGACCAATAAAAATAAATCAACATAAACTATATATAAATGTGCATTTGAAATATAAATATACTGGATAAAATTAAACAAAAGAACTAAAAACAAGAAAAAGTATTTTCTGTTGAAAGGATAAGTTCTTTTAATTTTCGTTTGAAATAAATAAAAGTTATAGACCATGTCATTTATCTTTGTATAAATCATTTTTAAAAAAATTATAAATAACCATATATATGTAAAAATCTTATTTTTACATGTATATTTTATGAATATGTATCCTATTTTACATGTATATTAAATTTTATTTGATTAAAACAGAAACAATGTGCTGTGGGAAGCATTGTGGTGAAGAAATCCGCTAAAAACGGAATTCTATATTTGTGGAATTTCTTTTAAGCGGCCGTGGCGCAGTGGTTAGAGCGCTTGTTTGAGAAGCAGAAGATCAAGGTTCGAAACGAACTCTGGAGATATTTTCGCGTCACGGTAAGGAAAGGAGGCGTGAAAAGGTGCTCTGTGACAAGACCGTTAGCTCTTCTTGGGGCACCTAAATAACAAAATTAGTTGGTATACATTTACGATTTTCATTTCTCTTAGAAACGGTTTTGAACTAGAAAAACTATTTACAAAATTAATTCAGATAAAGAGATTTACGTTTAGTTGTGTGCGCCCTTCCTCATACAATAATTGCATAACTTAAATAGCAGTGGATAAACGAATAATATAGTTTTTTTAATTGTTGTTTATTTAATATTTGTCAAACTTTATATATAATTCTTTAAGCAACTTTCATGGAGATATTATCCATTTGTTAACTCCAGGTTAAATTTTCGTATATAAGAACTGCAAGAAGTTTTCTAACTTTTTCCTTTTTAGTATTGTATTATCAGTAAAAAAATCAAGCACTTGTACTTGGTCAACGTTTTTTTCTGGATATTGGGTAAAAAAGTGTCCATTTTGTTTTAATAATATTGTGGGAGAATCAGTTTTTCTCAAACCAATATAAGATTTTATTTAGTTCTTGTGTCATTATTAAAAAGTGTATTTATATTTTCATGGAATTGAAATAGGTTTGTCTCGCTCGCAAAATTTACAGTGGTTAAGTTAGAGGCTTCGTTAAGGTCATTTTAAAATAGTGTGTCCATTATGTGACGCCTTGTCTCTACTAAAAATTTCAAAGTTTTAGCAGATGTGGCTCAATTGTTTGAGCTTTTCCACGGTGCTTTATGACAAGACCGTTAGAACTTTTTGGAGCACCCTAATAAACTGAAGAAAAAACTGTAACAAAAAAATTAGAAACTTTAAAGAAGTCAAAAGTATTTTAATAACATGATCATTTTCAAGTTTAATCAAAGTCCAAACAAAGTTTTATAGTTTGATGCTTTTGAGTTTAATAGCTAAAAATAACTTTAAATAAATTTCCGTAGTATTGATGAGTTTAATGTGGTAGTACCGGGTATGTTTTTCAACTCCGATTAAGAATCCGATTAAATTTTCTTTTATATGCTCTTCCTCGGTGCTCTGTGAAAACACCGTAAGGACAATTTCAGGCACCTAAAAAATAATTTACTTACGTATATTCCCTAAAAAATAGTACTAAAAGTTATTAATTAAATCGAACCAAAGTTAACAAATGGTACGGCTCCGACAAAAATGTTCAATGTCAGACTTGCCATTAACAGGAAAACCAAAAATAATGCAGAAGCAGATGAGTATTGATCTCATAAAGAGCAGTGTTAAGTAACATTCAGCAATATCAACGCAAACACGTTCTAGACAGCTGGGCATGTCTAGAACATCACTTTGGTGGATTTTATCTTGGCATTTACACATGCATCCTTACAAGTTCCAACTGGCCCAACAATTCAGAGAAAGCGTAGTGGAAAACGTTATAACAAAAATGATTATTGACTCAAGTTCTTGTGTTAACTTAATTGACAAAAACATTTTAGAAAGGATTAGAAATCCCAATTCTAATCCAATACTAAATAATTAATCAACTGTTATATTTCCTCGCGCTTTAATCCCGATAAAGTTAATTTATTATACAGTGTTATGCGGAAATATAAATTAAATTACGCGGAAAGAATCAGTAAAAAAAAATACTTTTAAATTAGAAAAAAATATAATTTTTGTTGCTTATCAATTTATATACCTTAATAGGAGAGAGTAAGAATCAATTTATATACTTTAATATGGAAATCAAGATAGTTGACTAATCAAGAAAATTTTCTTTTTGCCTAATGAGTGAGGGCCCTATACTTAGTTTCAGGTGTGCAGTAGTGTAGTTAAGCTGCGCTTGTTGTTACCAATAAATTAATCCTAACTTTTTCTGATACTTCTATGTAATTTTTTGCTTGAGAACATTCCTGTTGTAGCTATTATGGACATAAAACCACTTTTTTTGTTGATGATGATGTTGTTGCATAGTACTATAATCAAGGGGTTTTTATCATGTTTTATAATTTGCCTCAACACAACCTTAATAGATTAATCGATTTCATTTGTTTACGAGTTTTCGACTGTCTAAAGTGTCATTGATAACGCACGGATGTCAGGCGGCTAATGTTTTTTACTTTTTGTTTTTTACTTTTGTGACATTTAATTTTTAATAGATAAATTGTTAGATACGTAATTTCACTTAACAGAGTGAAAACCAGAGAATGTTTAAGAAGGAAATATTCCACTATTATTACCAGTTCGCCAATGAGAAATATTTTACAGCAAAAGGAAAGTAAGAAGGAATAAGTAAAAAACAATACTGGTAAAAGTAATAAGAGAATGGAGAACTATAATCTATTAGAGGCTGATCACGGATCATCATGTAAAGAAAAAAAAGAGCTTGCGGTGGTACATACATTTTTGCTTAATTTGCAAAGAAAAGCATAAGAATCCATCCACAGAAGACTGGATTATGTGTCATAAATGCCAATCCTGCTTGCACAAAAGTCCACAATTGGTGAAAGCACGTCCCGAGGTTTTGTTTGTGATTTTTGTTTGAAATTATTTTTAAAAAGTTTAATAAACAAAAAATCAAATATTAAATTTAAAAGAGTGTTGTTGTTTTAGGTTGCGATAAATGATTTCATGATCTGCCGATGGAAGATTGGGTTTACGAAGTTTGTGACCAACCGGAAAACGTAGGTCTTGGTAGACCTACATTTTCCGGTTGGTCACAAACCAAAGATATTTAATCGAAATATCATTAAAATAAGCTACTCACGTATGCCAAATATCATGTCCATTATTAATTCGCACAACCACAGGATATTATATAGCCAAGATAAAGATGAGGAAAAAACATGCAACTGTGTCAACAAATCCATCTGTACCATGAACAA